TCTAGAATTCTGGGTTGACATTTCTTTTGTTTCAGCTCTTGAAAAATACTGTGGTAATTTCTTCTCTCTTCTGTGGGATATGATACTAAATCCCTTCCTTTCCCCTTATAGATTAGATATTATTTCTCTCTCTGATTTCTTGTCTTTAGTTTCAGAAGTTTGATTATGGTGTGATTTGGCATGGATTTTTTTGGATTTATCTTTTGGTGTTTTCTAAGCTTCTTGAATATGTGGGTTTATGTCTTTTGCACATGTGGAAAATTTTTAGTCATTTTCAACATACTTTTTGACCTCTCTTTCTCTTTTTCTTCCAATACTCCAATGATATGCAAATGTTAAAGTGTTTTGTTATAATCACCCAAAACTCTGTTTTTATTGTTGTTTTATAGTTCATTTTCTTGCAGTTGTTCAGGTTGGGTAATTTCTTTTGTTCTGTGTCTTGCAGTTTACTGATTCTTTCTTCTGTTCTCTCCATTTTATTGTTGAGCCCATCCATTGAGTTTATTTATATATATATATATATTTTTTTTTTCTATTTTAAAATTTTTATTTCTTTTTTACATGTATTTTTTGCTAAGACTTTCTCTTTTTATTTCAAGTGTTCAGAATTAGTTATTTAAGCAATTTTATGATGATTACTTTAAAATCTTTGTCAGATAATTCTATCATCTCTGCCATTATGGTGTTAACATGTATGGGTTATCTTCTTTTATTCCATTTCAGATCTTTCTGGTCCTTCGTATGATGAGTTCTTTGTTACTGTAATCTGGACATTTTTGTATTATGTTATGATATTTTGGATCTTATTTAAGCCTTCTTTTTTATATGCCATTTTCTGATTCTACTCAGGCATTTAGTGGATGGAGGGCAGAGGCATTTCACTACTGATGGTGACAATAGAAGCCCAGGTTCTCTACTCAGTCACTGTTGACAACCAAGGCGGAGGGACTATCTGGGCAAAGATTATAGTTCCTCCTCCCCACAGTGCCTTCACCCACACTATGGTAGGGGTAGTTTTGTTTCCACTAAGCAATCATGAAAGTCCTGACTCTCCAGTAGGCCTCCTGACATCAACCCAAGGGGAGGGGGAAGATTACCTCATTACTGTCTTCTCTAACCCTTCCCTGGAGAGGGTTTTGTGGTGCCTTGTTAAACCATATAAAGATATAAGTCTGGGCTTCCCCCTGGCTTTTGCTGGTGTGGATGGGAGTAGGGTCATGGTTTTCTGTGGTGTTTGGCTGGAGTAGAACAGTTGTTATCTGAAAGTTTTCCTTCCTAGTTTTTTGTTTAGAGAAAGCAGACTTGTTTGGTCGGTCATACCCAAGGGCATTTCCAAGTTACCAGTTTCTGCAGCTCCAATCTGGGATATAGGAGGCAAAAAGAAACCCTTGGGAACTCATTGCCATGTTATCCCTCAGGTTACAAGGTCCTTAGGTAATCTTTCTTTTCTCTACCTTTCAGATCCCTCTTACGTCTGTTTTATACTTAATGCCCACAGTTTTAAATTATACTTAGTGGGAGAAACAGGGAAACATTCATCTGTTCCCATTTTCCCAAGTGGAAGTCTGAGATTCACATTTTAAAAAATTTTTAGGAGATAACCATTTTCCTGGAATAACTATTAATAGTTAAAATGATGATCAGAAATTTTTCCAAAGGGAAAGATGCTTTTACAATGTTTACTTTTAAGATAAGATTTGAATAAGATACTCAGATTTTTCCAGTATTTATAAGGCTGTAATCTCTATATGCTTTTTAGTTTGGATAATTCTTACTGTTATGTCTTCAGGTGCTTCTTCTACGCATTTAAACTATTAATTCCTATCCAGTGAACTTAGCATTTTGCATATATCATAAATTTTCATCTTTAAAAGTTCTCTTTCTTTTAAAAATCCTTTATTTCTCACCTCATTATGTTTATATTTTTCTTTATGTCCTTAAGCATATATATTGGTTCTCTTAAAGTTATTGCCAGCTAATTTAGTAATCCTATAACTTCTTGATCTGTTTTCTGTTGACTAATTTTTATCTTGGTTTGGTTATCATTTTTCTGTTCCATATATCTACTAATTTTTTATTGGATAGTGGACATTATGAAGTTTCATGTTCTGTGCTGGATTTTATCTTTTTTCAAATAGTGTTGGACTTTGTTTTGACAAGCAGTTATTTATGGATCAGCAAACATTTTATTATTTTTTTAATTCTCACCCGAGGATATTTTTCTATTTATTTTCAGATAGAGTGTGGGGGAGGGAGAGAGAGACACATGAGAGGGACACATCAACTGGTTGCCTCCTGCACAACCCCTACCAGGGCCGGGGACGAACCACAACCTAGGTGCATGCCCTTGATGGGAATCAAACCCACGACTCTTTGGTCCGTGGGCTGACGCTCTACGGCTGAGCCAAACCGGCCAGGGCACCAAACATTTTCTTAAAGGATCAGATAATAAATATCTTAGGACTGTGAGTTATCTGGTCTCTCCTTGTAACTACTCATCTGTGCTCTTGTAGCTGGAAAGCAGCCATGGACAATATATAAACACATGGATGTTGCCATGTTCTAATAAAAGTTCACTTACAAAAATAGTTGGCTTTCCCATGGCTGACAATTTGTTAACCCTTGCTTTAGAAGCTTGTTTTTAAGTTTTGTTAGAGTAGATTTAAAATTATGGCTACTTTTTTTTTTATCCTCACCCGAGGGCATTTTTTGCATTTATCTTCAGAAAGAGTAGGAGGGAGAGACGGGGGAAGAGAGAGAGAGAGAAACATCGATGTGAGAGAGACATATCGACTGGCTGCCACCCACACAACCCCAACTGGGGCCGGGGACAAACCACAACCAAGGCACATGCCCCTAACGGGAACCGAACCCAGGACTCTCTCCGGTCTGTGGGCCGACGCTCTAACCACTGAGCAAAACTGGCCAAGGCATGGCTACTTTTTTTTGGAGCGTCTCCTGATTGCCCTGGATGTTCAGCAAGGATTCTCTAACTGGTTGAAACGCCCATGTTTTCTACTCCTCCGTGAGCTCTGGAAGCTGTCCAGTCCTCTGCTCAGGCTCATGGCGCGTTACTCAGTACATGCACAGCTCAGCGTCTAGCCCCGGCTCCGGCAGAGCCTAAGCTGAGTTATGCAGTCTTTGGGAGCAGCCCTCCTCCGAGGTACTCTGCCCTCCAGTTCCAGTTTTTGTCTTCTCCACCCAGCAGGACAACTGCGATCTGCTCTGCAGTCCAAAAAGTGTCTCCAGAATTCGCCGCCCCCCCCCAAAAAAAACAGGGTACTCACAGGGCGCACCACGTTACTTTCCTTCTCTCAGGAGTTACAGTCTTGAACTGCCTGTTGTCCAGTGTTTGAAATCTGTTTTCTATATCTTGTCCAGTTCTATAGGTGTTTACAGCAGGGGGTTAAGCCCCTTCCCAGTTCTGCCATCATGGCAGAAAGCTTCTATGCTGGTTTTCAAATAAATACTCAAGTTCCATTCCAAACTAGATACACAGTCAAGTTTGAGAATCAAACTTAAGTTTTTGGAGCTAAGTAAAGGTCATCTGAGCACATCAAGTGCTGGGGCCTAGTATGTGTTCAGTACAGAGGCGCTGACGTTTGGAACTCTAGTCAAACAGAAGGCAGGAAGGAGGAAGGCTATGTTCAAAAAACTTTATTGAAAGGAGGGTAGGAGATGAATTTCCCTATTTTGGAGTTTTGAAGCTAAGGCTCATCTCTCTTCTTTCACCCATACACCAGATGAAAGGCGTGGCCAGACTCATCCACTTTCCTCTTTCCTCACTACTGTGGTAGACCTTGCTCTTGTTTGTATCCTTTAGGTGGATTATAAGTGAGAAGGATGAAGTTCTGTGGAATGTTCCATTTCTACAGTTTTCAAACCAAGTCCCTGGCCTAAGCTTTTCCTTCACTCATATCCTCCCCAAACTAATGGAGGTTGAGAGAGAATAGGGTGACCTCTATCTGCCTGCGATTCATTTCTCCCTTTCCCCCCTTTTCTCTCTGAACCCCACTTGAGAGTTTTTTGGTTAGGTAAAGCATGTTAAGATAATATCTTTAATTTACATTATGTGTAGCCATCCATGGCCATCTGAAGAAACTAAGACCGATGCCTTCTGAGAGGTCATTTATTCAAACAGAATAAACAGGGAAGATGAATGTGTCCCCCAGGAGAGCTGAGCTTACAGTGCTACAGGACCACCATAGTAATAAGATTTATTTGAGCTAATTTAACTTTAAGATTACTGCAAATTATACATTTTATTCTTTCATATATCAATATTTGTTTTAATAGAAAAGTGTTCTAACTACTTAATAGAATAGATATTCCCAAAAAATCACATAACATGATATGCCCGTGGTTTTATAACTTTCCTACTTAGTGAAACACAACAATAGAAGCAGTTTTTGTTTCTTTTTAATAATGTTTAGCTTCTAAATTTTAAGTTGCATTGTAGGTGATACGGGGCTTGGAGATACACACAACAGATGCTTGATACAAGTTTACATGAGTGGCCCTGGCTGGTGTGGGTCAGATGATTGAGTGTCATCCCATGCACTGAGAGGTCACAGGTTCAATTCCCAATCAGGGCACATGTCCATTTTCAGGCTTGATCCCCAGTACAGAGCATGCAGGAGGCAGCCAATTAATGTTTCTCTGTCATCAATATTTTTCTCTCTCCCTCTCTGTCTTTCTCAAACCAATAAAAACATTTTTTTAAAAGTTTTCATGAATGTTTCTATGAGGGGAAAGTGTATTTCAAATTCTAGTCAACATTCTGGTAACCTTTTTTGAGTAAGGACTTGGTTATTTAGGGCTTACCAGTTTTTTGTGTTTTTTTTTTTTATCAGCTCAGAAATAATCTTTATTTCTTGCATTTCTATAGAGTGAGTTTTTGTGACTATAGGTGTACTGGTGCCCAGTCATAAGTGTTATATAAAGAAGTGGTTTCACTTGGTTTCCACTGAAAACATTGATTTTTCTTTGCCATTCTGCAGTACCTTCTCCAGGCAAATTCCGCTCCCCTGCAGCGCCATCTCCTTTGGCTCTTCGGCAACCAGTAAAAGCATTTAGTAACCATGGCTCTGGTTCTCCTGGTAGCCAAGAAACAACACAGCTCACACAGACCACCTCCTCACCTGGGCCTCCAATGGTTCAGAACACAGTCCCTGCAAATCCTCCCAGCAATATCAACAGCACTACTCTAACCAGACCTGCAGGGACAACCGTGATGAGAAGCGGCTTGCCCAGACCCAGTGCCCCTTCTGCTGGGGGTATACCAGTGCCTCGCAGCAAACTTGCACAGCCTGTCCGCAGGTAAGTGGCAGATGCTCTGTTTCAACATTCTTGAGCGTAGGAAAGTGGAATTACACTCATCTTTGCATTTGATAGTGAACATAGAGAGTCCTAATTGGGTTCTCACTAGTCTTAGTACAACTTGAATAAAACATTTCTTTGTTGTTTTAAAAAAAAACCTTACTTGGGACATTAGGATATTATACCACTTTGGTTCAGATTAAATTTGCCCAGATACCTAACATGATTAAGCATCTCCGAGATCTAGAAAAATATAATTAGAGCCACTTAGAAAAAATAATTAGAACCACTCAATTTGGTTGTGATATTTGTTCATTTTGAATATAATAATGTTCAATAAAGATAGTAAAGGCATATTATATCCTCAAGTGAGATTTAAGTTAAAATTTCTAGCTACCACATCTGAGTATAATCTAGGAGGCTGATTTTCAAACTTGCTACAATTCAGAATCTTATGTGGAATTTGTATAAACATGGAGGCCTAAACTTTACTGCCAAAGAGCTGATCAGGTATGAAGCCCAAAAGCTGTAGGTATGCTGTTTGTTTGTTTGTTTAATCTTCAGGTGATTCTCAGCCCAGCCCGGTTGGGACTATGCACCTGTAATCTTCATCTGCCTTTCAGGAATGTGTTACCACCATCAGTAGATTTAGGTGTCAAACAAAACTAAATGTTAAATATGTATTTGCATGTAAAAAAAAAAGTGTTCATTCCATAAGCATTTAAACTGCCCCTACTTTTTTATTCTAAGATAGACATAATACACTTCTGAATTCCGTAGTAGAGTACAATAGTGTTTCGCTGTGCACTAGCGAAATAACTGACATGTATCTTATTTTTTACAACATGAAACGTAGAGGTACTGTTGTTACTCCTATTTCCAGAGAAGAATATTGAAATTAGAGTTGGTAATCCATGTGGTTGGAAAAGATGAGACACTCTTTTCCTTTCTTTTACTCTACTAGCTATGTTAACAAACAGAGGTTAATAAAGTCACCTGATGCCCAGTAGAACTACTGTATACATTGTGGAAATGCTGAGTGTGGGGATGGTTGTGCAAATGGCTGTTTAGAGCTTTGATCTCATTGGTCCCTGAAAAGGCCTATTGGACTGTGATCCACCTGCAGAGTGATTTACCCTGAGTGGGAGATAGTATGGTCATGTTTTATTTAAGCCTTGCAGACTACTTTACAAGATTGCTTTATTTCAGATCCTTGCCAGCTCCTAAAACCTACGGTAGCATGAAAGATGACAGTTGGAAAGACGGCTGTTATTGACCAGCAAAGGGAAGAATGCAGAAGTGCCAGCTTCATGGACACCCCTTCACCAGGCTGCCACACCACTTGATGTGCAGACTGTTCACATAAGACTCTTGGGATTTGTGAAGTCCCAGCCCTCTCTGTCTTGATTAGCACAAACCGACAGAGACGACCAAGCAGCACTTTAATGACATTTAACATCAGATGTGTTTGGTAATCATACAATCACTCTCCATGGAATCACTTTTAGTTTTGTTTAACAGAAACTGAGTTGATTTTTTAATATTTGACAGAGGCCATTATCTGGGCAAAAAAACTAATGGATGCCAAAGAGAAAATGCCCATTTGTAAACGAGAGAGTACCTTTGTGCACAAGAAAATGGTAAATTCACGCTATCCAAAACTTCACGTTCAACCTAATTTACTGTAAAAATGGTATCAATAAATCTTTGTGTAATATTCTGATTAGTTATCCAAGCTGTTTCACTGGTGTTTCACTAGTATTCCCAAGAAACTAGACTGAGATGGAAAAACCCTGGGCTAGAGATTTAAAACATGATACCTAAATTTGGGAGAATTCTGTAAATATTTTTGCAGATCCATTAGAAAGACAAAAATGTCATGCTGTGTTAAGTTTTGGACGTAGCTCACAAGTCAGCACCGCCAGGTAGTGGGACAGTGCATCCACCATCGCATTGGCACATCGGCCTCTGTGTTTGTTGTGACTGCCAAAGGGCTATGTGTCAGTTGTACAATCTTTCCACACTTCATAGCTCCTGGCTCAGGAAAGTTCGCCTTTGCTGTTGAAGCCAGCTTCTCCACATGCTGTTTTCTGTCACAGAACTAAGAGATCTTATTTCTATTCGCAGGTTTCCACGATGGGAAAGAGCAAGTAGCATGTGTCTTTATTCTTGATATAAATAACACCACCTCAGTGCTTACAACCTGGAACAAAACCATACAGTGAGAGAGAGGGAGAAAATCTATGCACTTAACTTATAAAATCTCTGGAAATGACAGTTGTACTGTCGCTTTTAAATGACACAACGGTCTATCATGTGGTAGGAGAGTAGCCTGCTGAATCCTACCTAAGTTGATCCACTTTAGACTGAGTAACTGTATAAAATGTCCTTTGAAAATACTGTCCCTTTTGACTTTGATTCTGCCTTACATCAATTTTTGCATTTTTTGTAACAAATAAAACCCAGTACATGTGACTCTAACCCTTAAATACTAGCTCTGTAATGGGCCCTGTGTATACCCTGGGAATCACTTATTTCAGTTTTTTTAGACTTTTACCAAACTAAAATGTCTTTCTACAGCTCACTCCTCATTTTTCATGGTGAGAGGTCTATGTTTAAGTATTTGATTTGAACAGCTCTGAAATATTGGCAATCAAGTCACCTAAAGGATTTTAGAGCTTTGAACATAAGTTTATTTCCTGTTAGTCAAAGACATTCTGTAAGTTGGCAAAAGAAATTGAGAAATGGGAAGCTTGATATTCAGGATAGCATTGAGGTTGACATGTTGAGAGACCCCTGTTCTGCCGTGACTGACACCATGGTAGTCTGGATTAATTTACTGGTAGGGAGTCATTCCGTTAGCACAAGCAGCTGCAGATTTACACCGCCAGTGCTAATGTATTTCGGCATATAATGCAAGAAATATTGTCATTGAATTTGAGGGTAGTGTGGGTGGGTCAGGAAAGATGGCACCAGAATTCCACATAATGATGAACTAAAAAATGTTGCTTTTTAGAGAAGAGAAGATTTGCTTCGGGTGTGTGGGGGGAAATCCCATGTAAAAATCTAAGTAAAAGAACAAGCCCACTGTCTCTTTAAAACCACACATACAGAAAACAAAATAGGTCTCAGTTTTCAGAGCAACATTGCAAAAGGTATATATATATATATGCTGCAATCTAATAATTAAGAGGAATTTTAACTATTATGAAACACCCATTACATTTTTAAGTTAGATTATCGGTTTCCAAAGGAGTATTCAGGTTATTTAACTTTGTTTTTAAAAGGCTGCATCAGAAAAAAAAAAAAAATGTCTATTTTTTTTTAATTAAAATATTTCATCACTTGTTAAAAATGTATTTGGATTTGAGTTGGGTAAAGCATTATTTTACCTGCTGTTGTACTACCACAGACTATTGACTTTTGGTCTCCTAAAGAGAAAAATTGCCTTTTTACTAGAAAACCTTTGTGTATTGCCAATTTTTCTATTTGGGGAAAATCCAAGGATTACTGTGGTTAGTCTTACAGGAGAAATGTGGATTTGATAAACTAGTGCCTATGATTTTAACTTATGTTTGATATATAGTAGTTAGGGTTTTATGAATGTTGATAATTTTTTTTGTGTGCCAACAACCCAGATTTGTCACTTTTATGTAAGCAGAAAGCTATGAGCTCTGCTTCTGAAGTTATTTAATTTTCTTGGTGTTTGAATGTTATTTTTTTGTGTGTTAATAAAAGTGTAAAGAATTGGAAAAAATATAAATATTCTTAATTCAAGCATTTGCTGAATCATTTTTCTACAAAACTTGTTTGTAATATAAAGTACTCTCTGAAGAGTTGACTTTTTTCAGTTTTCATACCTTGAAAAATCACATTTTGTAAAACTGGGGACCATTCATAATTGTCAGATACTTTTTAAAATTGTTATCTCAGTACATCACTTTTATAAAAAAAGTTTTTTTCAAAGGAAATTAGATACATATGTCCCCAGATATTTGTATAACTCTAGAGTGATCTAGACTGTGTATATTTAAATTAACTTTTTATTGAATGTACAGGCATCAGTTTTTGACATTACGCATGGTCCTTTGAGATCCCATGAACTTTGATTTGCAAACATTTCTATAGCCGAACTTGTATGTGTGGTTGCCTCCTTAATAAACAGCCTGACCATAATGTTTATTATTAAATTTATATTTGTTTTTCAAGTGTTTTATTAATTTCTGGGTATGTTGAGATTCCCCCCTCCCGTCGCCCCCACCACTCGCCGCCATTTGCGTACAGTTGGTTTTAATAAATCTCTCAGTTATATTTTCAAACACACAAACTCAAATCATATATTTATGAGGTTGGTGTGTATCATGTTATATTTTCTCCGTCCTGGTTATTTCATGTGTGGGTTACTTGGAGTAAATTTATAGTTTACTCAAAATTGGTATGTTCCTGGAACTTTGTCACCTGCTGTGTGGTGTCTCGTTAGAAAAAGATAGCATATGTGAAACAAGCAAAATGCCAACTTCATGGGTTTCCAACAGGGAAGATGAATACATTTCCACAGCAAATATGAATGTTTGTTTAGTGGTCTTGTGCATCTTTTCTCTCGTGGATGAATGGGGAAAATCAAGAATTGTACACTAGTTCATTGGTTCCCACATTCCTTTTGGAAGTTTTTACTGTCCTTTATGTTAGAGAAATGACCCTGCGTGTTTAATTTTTCTCCCACGTCAACTTAAAAACTTTCAAGAACCATTTAAAATTAAGTGTCAAAATACCCGCAAGTCAGTGAATGGCCAATGCAACAGGAAACCCTGCGGAGTTCCTGTGAAGTATTTGCGTGTCCAAGTTCAGCTTTGAATTACAAAGGCAGAATAAATGCTAGACACTACTTGGAGGGCGCTGGTGAACAGGACGTCCATGTGAGCATGAAGCCCACTCAGCAACCCCTAATGCATTTTGCATCTTGAATGATCCAATGTGTAAGTCCAAGGAGACTAAACGAGATGGCCTTCCGGGTACTAGTGTGAGAACGGAACGGATGTCACTCATTGGCCTGCTTCCTACAGCCTGGTTAGAGCCATGCTAGGTGATGCCAGTTTCAAGCCAGTTCTTTATCTGCACTGGGTAACTTCAATGTTTCCTTTTTTAAAAGAAGGGGGGAAATAAAGCTTTATGTCTTATGATTTTGAAAGTAATAGAGATACATTGCTTTAAAAAAAGAAAAACAACTCAAAATATAAAGGAGAAAATGGTCCTGCATTTCACCTGGGGATCCTTCATCTAGAAATAAATAAAATTTAAGTGCTGCCCTAACATGGTTATAAAATATTAAGTGGAAGGGTAAATAGTTTCCTGTTTAAGATGAGAAAATATTTTCCACTTGTTGTGGCGCGAGAGAACCCAGAGACCACCAGAGCCAAATAAAGAGCAAAGGCGGCCGGCGACTGATCCCCAGTTCTCGGAGATCAGCCCCAACTTTCAGCTGATTTTTTTATTTTATAGGGGGTTTGTTACAAACTTCTGTAGCTGGCATTTCTTGTTGGCCTTGGGGGAGAGCAAGCAAGCAAGTACAGAAGCGGAGGTGGTTAGTGATGAGGGAGGGAACGGAGGTGGGAGGGAGCTGAGGCGAAAGGGAACTGGGTGAACTGGGCCAGCACACATCCATCCTGCTATTCATTCTATTATCTAAGTTCTACAAACTAACAAAGTCGCTTAGAGGACAAATTCGTTTAGAGGAGTACCAGGCCAGCTGGTCCTTCCTCGGGTTGCCTCTGAAAGCTTCATAGTTGGCCTTTTGTTTATTTAATCAGGACTGAGTGATAGGAACAGGCCAGTACACGCTTACGATGCTGACATGAGTTAGCTTTGAACAGAGGTGTGCATTAACCACTACCGAAAGCTTGGCACAGTTCTCGGTTCTGATTGCAGATTCTCCTTGATTTAAAAGGAAATCATACATATTGTTTGTATCTTTATTGATTTTATTTATTTATTTTTTGGTACATGCCCCCTAGCGGGAACCGAACCCGGGACTCTGGTCCGTAGGCCTATGCTCCAACTGCTGAGCCAAACCAGCCAGGGCTTGTTTGTATCTTTATAATATCGATAAGCTTTATCCTGTAAAAAAGTATGTTTATTACAGAAAACTAGAGAAATATAGTAAATTATAATGAAGGAAAAGCACTTAATTCCATGGGTAATTAACCACTTAAATTTGAGGAGATTGTGCCCTGGTCGGTTTGGCTCAACGGTTAGAGTATTGGCCTGTGGTCCAGAGAGACCCAGGTTCAGTTCCCGCTAAGGGTGCGTACCTCGGTTGCAGTTTGTCCCCGGCCCCGCGGGTGGCAGTCACTCAATGTGTTCCTTTCACATCGATGTTCCTCTCCCTCCCACTCTATCTGAACAAAAAATGAAAAAAATGTCCTCGGGTGAGGATAAAAAAAAATTGAAGAGATTGTCTTTTTTTTTTTAATGAAATCAGGAATCAGTCATGAGTGAAAGTGTAACTTTTGATTAACTCCAATGTCACAACTGTCATCATTTATAGTTGTATTCTGCTGCTGGGAAAAAAGTCAGTTTCAGGGAAAGTATACAAATATTTTTTTAAACTTATCTATATTGTTGAAAGTATTACAGATGTCCCGCCATTCCCCCATTGACCCCCTCCACACTGCTCCCGCCCCCCAGCCTTCACTGCACGGTTGACTGTGGGTTGTGCACACTTGCAGGCATGTTCTTTGGTTAGTCTCTTCCCACCCCTTCCCTCTGAGATTCGTCAGTCTGTCCCATACGTTCCTGTCTCTGGATGTTTTGTTCACCAGTTTATTTTGTTCATTAGGTTCCACATACAAGTGAGATATACAAATATTAATTCCAAAACTTTACCAAACCTATATTGTCAAAGTTCTCCATATAATAACAGTATTGATTGAATACAATTTCAGTTTTAAAACAAAACACCTTTGGAGAAATAACTATTTGGATGTACAACCAAATGGTTGAGATGGTGTAGAGTCCTCAAACTTCAGAATCTCCTGACAGGCTGTTAAAATGCGCATTTCTACACCCCACCCCAGGATTGTTGGCTCAAAACCAGAACACTGGTCACAAGAGCTAAAGCTCGAGGTCCCCTGCACAGGTCGGGCACCATTACTGCACTAATGGACTGTGGCAAAGCGATTGGAGTCTTAAAACCACGTAGCTCGTGTGAAAACCTTGCGGGTGGATGAGGTTAAGACCGTGTTCCCTGGAAGTGCAGCTGTCACCGGGAAGTGGGCGAACACATCAGGCGCACACCACAAGTGTCTCAGCGCACGTTATGCAAAACGGTTGTTTCTTGTCCATGGTCATATTTTCCTGGAGGAAATATTTGTAGTGAAAAGGTTCTGATGGTATTAGAGCCCTGGGCTCTGTTGTTCATAAGGCCCAGCATCATTCTGGTCCTTGAATTCCGTGAAGCACCTCAGTATCCTTACTATAGATTCCTCTTAGTATGCAGGTCGATTTAAGCTAAGATTCTGTCATTTGCCTCCAGAAGAAAGTTCTTTTTCAAAACAAATTTTTTTAATTGATTCATAAAATATGCACAGGAAATATGCACGGATGTTCAGCTCACGAATTACCATTAAGTGACTGCATGTGTCCCCAGCATGTATGTAGGCCAGGAAGACTTGGAGCACCCAGAAGCTCTCCAATGCCACCCGCTAATCCAATCACTGTGACCTTCCTCTTCAAAGAACAGCTATCCTAATGTTATAATTTAGTGTTGCTTCCTCTTGAACTTTGTGTAAATGGAGCCATGCACTCTGCAGTTTTTCTCTGCCTAATTTATTTTGATTAAAAACTAAAAACGGGGTTTTTTCTCAGACGCCAGCACTAAACAACAGAAATGTGAGGTTGGTTCTCATTGCCCTATTGTATGCCATCGTATGGATATACCACTTTGTCCATTGGCACGTTGGACGGTTGGGTTGTTTCCAGCTTGGGTCTCATGCATAACGCAGCCGGGGACTGTAGGCATAGTCGGGTGGAGTAAGCCCCCAAAAGCCTTTCTCTCCCACTCACAACTAAAAATGTTGGACAAATGCAAAAGGAAACTACCTGAGAACACAGAAGTCAACAAAGCAGGCAGATTGGGGAAGAGTCAGACCTGCAGAGGAGACCCGTGCAGAGCTGAGCACCCCATTTCCCCCTGGCCTGAGCCGGGAGAGGGCCCCCGGCAGGGCTGCCCGCGGCTCCTGACACGTTAAACCAGAGGAAACTGAAGTATCTATGAATGGAAAACCCTAGACCAGGAAAAACGGAGCTCCTGGAGGCTAGAGAACATTGGGGGGCAGGTATTTTCTCTCTCATAACTGCTGCTTCTGAAAGGAGAAAAGTTGACAGGAACGCTGCCATTTTTAGGAGATTTGAATAATCCTGTTGCAAGAGGGTTCGCTTACAAATAAAACAAATCCTGGTTAACTGAACAAAGTTGGCTTGGTGTCCACAGTACCATTGACTATTTACATAAAAGGTGGAGGATCCTGGTTCAATGCCATGACTCCATGGGATCTGTTGAATATTAAATTTCATGCAAAGTAGTCATGCTGATTACACTGGTGTACATTGAAACCGATGGAAGTTGAACATAGGTAAATGAGAAGGGAATTATTAGCCTTAGGGTTTGTTGTGTTAATTTGTAACCATTATGATGAACCTTCTAGCCCAGCGGTTCTCAACCTGTGGGTCGCGACCCCTTTGGGGGTTGAACGACCCTTTCACATGGGTCGCCTAAAACCATTGGAAAACATATTTCCAATGGTCTAGGGAACCGAGACACTGCTCCTCTGTCCATCTCCAGGTGGATCCGCCCGCATACAACATGAGAAATTGTATTAAAGGGTTGCGGCATTAGGAAGGTTGACATATTTCACAGAACTAGAACAAATACTTCAAAAGTTCATATGGAACCAAAAAAGACCCCGAATAGCCACAGCAATTTTGAAAAAGAAGGACGAAGTAGGTGGGATCACAATATCAGATATCAGGTTATACTACAAAGCTACTGTAATCAAAACAGCTTGGTACTGGCACAAGAACAGGCATATAGACCAGTGGAACAGACTAGAGAACCCAGAAATAGACCCAGGGCAATATGCTCAGTTAATGTTTGACAAAGGTGGCAAGAGCATACAGTGGAGTAAAGACAGCCTCTTTAATAAATGGTGTT